TCTGCGCTGAGCTCCCGCCCGCCCCGCCGCGGCACAGCTCGTTCCTTTAAGCCCTCGCCGATTCCGATGTGAGGTACGGCCTCTGCGATAATCACTTCAGTAGCTGGTTATAAGTAAACACCTTAAAGCCCCCGTTACTGAAATCGGAGGATGTGCAAGACTTTCATCTTCCTTAAAAATATCCAAACAAAACCTTTGTGATCTTCCTCAGTGGAAAAAAACTTAGGAAACTTAAGTAAACAGTGCAGAAATCAGCAAATACATAAAATGACCCAAACTTGGCTCAATCACATCACGATGATTGAGTTTAAATTTATTAAGTGGGAACCTCTGACTTGAATTTGGTTGGGACAATTTGTACTCCAGCAGTTACCTGTTTTACAGACATAATAAGCATGTAATCTTAAACACATTGTGGGTTTTGAGTAGAATACACTTAGTATAAACAGCAGACAACTAATTGCTGCAGCAAGTTCAGTTCTTCAGCTGCAGCACACACCCCCAAGCCCCCCCCAGGAAATAGCAAAAGCTCTTAAATTTCACATACTAAATCTCACGTCTTTGGCTGGTGGTTAGGGCTTTGGTTTTGTTTTGGTTTCTAAATGATTGGGTTTTGTTCAGCAACACTAGAGCTGTTTGACTGGCTTCTTTTGGTAGAGGTGTGATGTATTTTAATCTACAATTTATGTAAGCAAAAAGAAAACCTTGTGGGTACTGAAAGTGTTACTATATACAAAGGGTTCTTTTCCGGTATTTATAGAACTTATTTGTATATAAACATTTATTAAAAAAAACACACAAAACAAAAACAAACATTATGCTATGCTTTGTTGTGGGAGAAATGGAGCAGCAGGAAAGATTGGGGAGCACAGGGAGAAGCCAACCTGAGTCCTCCTGGAGGCTTTTCCTCGACGTGGTCAAAAAGTGCTAACAGAATGCACGTGTTTGGTGTAGATGGCAAGATAATGAGTTTCACCTGAGCTACAGTTTAACAAAGCATCTACCATCTTGTCTGAGTTACTTGTTTAGAACATGTTACTTAGTCTAAAAGTAGAAAACAAAGGCAGAGTGAAGCAGCTCAGAGAAACAACACAGATAAGGAGCAACAGGAACAGCAGAGGATGGCTACAGTTAGAGGAAGGACAACAAAAAGGGGGAGCAGGAGTTGGAGAGTAGCTCTGAGGTAATGAATGATAGCAGAGATGTTGATGAAACAAAGAATTTTGTTTCTAATATTTTTTTGCCTTTTAATTTCCCCTTGAACACAGGTCTTCATAGGCAGTTTCCTGGGACAGAGAAGTAGGTAATCAAACTGGCATTACACCTTTGTGAAAGAGGATTGGGATCACTATCACATGACACAGGTAACTGTCCCGAAGATAACTGATGCAGCTCTTGTTAAAAAAATTGGATCATTTTCTGTCTGTGTCTCTATTTCTGTGGTCATATTGCCTCTCATGCTGCTTACGTGTTCAGCTGTCTGTAAAACCCAAACTTGGAAGACTTTGGACCTAGATTACCATTTTCCTACAGCAGCATGACATTCTCCTTTACAGAATAACAGACATTGATTCTAGAGGAGAATTAACCTTTTTCTGCCACGGAGCATTAGTTGAGCAGCCCTTCACATGAATTATTGAGTATTTTAAGTTTAATAACTAAAGTGTAGCGTAGTTCTCTCAAAAAGATTAGTTAACCGACACCATCTATCCCTGCTAGTTATCTGCAGCTAGATTACAGAGAATGATACTCCGTTTGAAAATGCATTTTGCAAACTTACTCCTCGGTTGTACTCTTTATTTTGCAAATTGCAGACATTGAGATGAAGGGTCTATAATTTCCTAGCTTGCCTTTCTCTCGGAACACTGGTGCTGCACTGGCATGCATCCACTTTGCTGTGACTTCATTTGAATACAGCAAATTCTTTATTATGATTAACAAAGGGCTGCTCTCTGGTCGGCTTTGAATCTCAGTCTGCTCATGGAGATTAGTGGGTTTTGAGCAATGCCAACTCACTAAATATCTCCGCTTCACTGATCTCAAAGACATTTGTGACAATGGATTTAGTAGTCATTTTCATGCGTGTTCTTGCCTTTGAATGGATAATACCTTAGTAGTAGTTCTGCTTTCCATTGCTGTTTGATTCTCCATCCCTTTCAAAAGGGTTTAAATTCAAAACTTCTCTTACTTTTTATGTTGCTTCTTTGAGCTACATAAACACATCTGTTTGTGGTTTTAATCCTTGAACGCACACACCCCCAACCCCCTGTTTGATTTTATTTTTGGTGAATATATTGCAAATCTCAGTGTATTATCTTCCTCTTCATGGTAGAAACAAATAAAACTATCTATCCCAAGGCAAGACATACAGAAATTGTTCTTCAATTGGCCAGGAAGACAATGGTGGTTTTAAAGTAAGGGGATCCCAGTTACATGTCCTAATGCAGCCATATAGCCTCATTTGACCACAAGAATTAGAGAATGGGCAACAGTAAAACCTTAGGTGACACCAGATCAGCAGCCCCTTTTATTTTTTTATGCCAGTGTCTTCATTAACCTCTTTACCTGTTAGCAGGTAACACGTACAGACCTCATGTAGCTGTTAAGTCTGACTGAAGTATTTGTACCAAATATGCTTTTTAAACTGAGATAATTTCTCTTCAAATAATCTGTTCAGTATTGTTTTCTTGTGAAGGTTTCTCTCAGTTCCACCGCTACATAACAAAATAATCTACTTCCTGCCCCAGACACATGCCTCAACCTTGTCTGAGTTACTCAGAGAGATTAGAAATAGATGGGTATTTATTTTTTATGATGTAATCACAAAATAAATGCAATGAAATCTAGAAACATTAGAGACATCCATCATCTTAATTTCTAATTTTCCAATTAAGGTCATGGGCATGAGCCACATTGAATGTTGCCACTTTCTTTTGTGCTTGTAGTCCCTGGTCATCTCTAGGGCCTCCTTGCCATTAGAACATTCAGGTTTTAAAGTTCTTCTCACCACAGTTTTAAGATGTATTTATCTTCTGAAATGAAGATACTTAACAGGTGAAGTGCTCTTGTGTAGTCACAGCTTGGTAGTTCTGAATAGCTTACATTTAAAAATAAAACAATTATTAGCAAACTCATCCCTGTTTTATATGACTCACTGTAAAACAGTCACACAAGGTTAAGATTTTCTAATAGGTGATGATGGTATGGTGGTCTAGGTATAAAAAGATCTTCCATTTTCTCTTACTCAAGCTGGAGCAGGGCACTACTATCATCATCACCTAAATCATGAAAATGCGTTCATTTAGAGAAATCCCTTGTGGAAACAGGGCCTTATGTTGCTCATTTATTTCAATGAATAGAACTAGGCAGTAATAGAGTTAAGCTTTTTTGAAGGATTATTTGCAAATTGGGGTTTATTTTTCTCCATGTTATTAAGAAATACCATGTGGCTAAACAGAATCTTATATTGATGTTTATCACATTACTTCTGTCAATGCATTGAACACAACCTTGTATAATAAAGCAGGATCATGGAATGACAGATTTTAACTTTTCTCAGAGAAAGGTGATCAGCCTCTTTCTCCTTCCCCAAAATTTCCGAAGACAAGGAGTATTACTTGATGCATGAGACAGAAAATGATAAACCTGTCAAAAATAGTAGGTTAAATTTCTGAAAGGAAGCAGACCCTAAAAGACTTGTGTTGCTGCCAGGTTGAGCTGTAGACTTACTTGTCTTTTAATTGCTCCAGGAGAACAGCGATTAATCTCCAAAGTTGGGGTTGGTTTCAGAAAATGTATGAGCACAGTGAATTCCTTATTAAACTAAAGAAATTTACCAAACCGACTTTCTCAGAAGAATAAAAGCAAAAGTGTTCCAAGCTCTTAGTTTGCAGAAAATCCAGATCTGCCAACACAGATATAAAATAGGCAAGAGAAGTAAAAAGTATTAAGTAAAGCTGAAAAGAACCCAAAAAGACCTTAATGGTAATTTCTCTACAGGGAAGTTGCTCCCAGTTCAGGGTTTGACTGTTGTACTCCCAATCTGTGCACAGCAAAGGATAAAAATTATTCATATTATTTCAGAGGCTTCTTCTATGCAAACCTTTGAAGATCTGTTCTACTCAGTATCTTTACCTGCATTCCTATGGCCTATACTGTCCCTGAGGTACCATTTCCCACTGATTAATCCAGCAGGTCAGTCTGTATATAACACACACTGTGACACCACTGGTACAAAACCAAAGGTAGTGGCATAAAAACCTTGCAAGAAAGCTATGTCAGTGCTGTGCTACACTCACAGCAGTAAGCCATGAGGAACGTGTTCACTGGTAGCAGCCTGCCTGGGTGAATTCCTGTTACTTCTCTCACTCCAAATGCCAGATCAGCCTGAGCTGTGAGCCACTGATCACTTCCCACTGGTGTTCTTGATGTTGGGCAGGAAAGGTACCATAGCCTTGGGGTCTTAAATCTAGGGCAAGATTTCACTAAAGGCAGTGTCTGAACGGCCACCCAGCAATGTGAGGTCACCCCAGTGTCATTACTTGCCCAGGGATGTAGTAAACCTTATCATAGAATCATAGAATGATTTGGGTTAGAAGGGACCTTTAAAGGTCATCTAGTCCAAACTCTCCTGCAATGAGCAGGGACACCTTCAAGTAGATCAGCTTGTGTGGAACCCCATCCAACCTGACCTTGAATGTTTCCAGGCATGGGGCAAATCTTGCTCAGTGGGATTTCTAATCATATTGTTATAAAGTGTTAAAAAAAAAATGTCTTTTGGTTTTGTACTCAAATAGACATTTTCCTTCAGCATGACTCTGGTCTTTGCTACTCGGGTAGCCACTTCCAGCTCTTCCTACCAGTCCCAGTGTCTCCACATACTTGTTTTGGGCTGTGCTCTGCTGGGATCACATCACCTTGCAGATCTGCATAGCTTTCAGCACAAGTCACATCGTTCACAATTCACATCTTTCAGCTGTCAGCATTTCCACAGATCTCTAGTCCTTGAGCTCTAATTATGCTCCAGTCACCTTGATTCTGGTACACTGACTCATCCTGAAGATACCAGCAATGGCAAGAGGTAGTGTTATTTTGGTGCATTTGTTCCCTCAAAGCATAATTAAGCTCTAAGTTTTGCATGTAGATGTGCACCAACAGGGGCTAGGCCTGTTGAAATTTTTTCGTTGATCAAACTTTAATTCCATTCAGAGTGATAATCAGGGAAGCAGCTTTCAATGCACGCACAGAACATTTGCTTGATAATGAAGAATTTCAAAACCTGTCCATGAAACTTAGTAGTACTAGATGAAGCCAGAAGGATTGTCACTGAATCTGCCCAAAATTCTCACTGCTGAAAAAAGAGCAAGATGATTGAATAAAAGGAAAGATTTTCCAGTTTTCCTGTCAGCGGTTATGAGGAACAGGAGATAATGAGGAAGAAACTAATGGCATTATTTTGGGACCAGGTCTAAAAAAAAAAACCAAACCTGGATGGTTCATCACTGGGCTAATACTGTATAATGATTGATGATTCTGTAATCAGAGCCCACATAGAGAGAAACAGGCTGTAAATTAAATGGTGGAATAATTCACAAATGACTTGGAATTGTAATGCAATGATCAGGAATTTGCAGAGAAGACTTTATGCCCCTTTTTTTTAACAAGATGCAGAATTTCTAACGGAAATAATTAGGGTTCTGACAATGTATTCATTTGAATGAAGGATTGAGTTTGACAATAAAAAATAGCCTGTAATCTGTGTGTCACATGCAGCTTTCTACTGACACTCAACCTCATGGTCTAGTGCACCAGCATTCACAGCAAATTAGTCTCAGTTTTACTATATTCTTCAACCACACCAAGTGGTACCTGGAGAAATAAAGATCTTTTAGTATGTCACTGCTAGTTAGGTAGCTCTTACAACTGAAAAATTGGAGAATGACTCAGTGATAGATTTAAAATCAATCTCTCACTGTGCTTAGAAGTTCCTTTTTTTAGACTTAGTAGTGAAAAAAAAAAAAAAAAAGAGGAGAAGGAATCCACTTCTCTTTCCCTTTTGAAATCCTCATCTTGGCAAGCCAATTGGCAAGCCGATGGCTTCCTCAAGCAGTTCACTGCAATTCCTTCCTGAAAAGCTTCCTCCTCTCTGCAGAGAGCAAAGCATCCTCCTTAGCTTTCCACAGAAGTGCAAAAGTGCATATTGAAAGTAAATTACAGCATGCCTTTGGGGAGATGAGTAGAATTATGGTTAGGAAACTGGACTAACATGAGCAAACATGCACCGAAGAGTCCATGCTGTTTTGAGCTAAACAAAGCCCCTCTTGGTCAAAGTCAGCTGTATCCAGCACGTGGGCAGACTGGCCATGCAGTACACATAATGCCTGTGCCACCTTGGAAACACAAGGTCTGTTGCAGCCTTCCAGAAAATTTGAGGTGTTTATGAAGTTTTGAATTTATCTTGCCTCTATTCCACCTAACATATGTAGATATTCTATTTGGAAAATCCCGGTGGCAGCAGCCCTAATTCTTTCAAATGTTTGGTGTCACAGTGCAGCTGACCTCTTTCTTGAGGCAATCTAAGATGCTCTGAAACTGCCAGTTCTCAGAGGTTCTGGGCACAGTTTTTTGCCAGCTCATCAGAACACTGGACCGTGTTACTAATCATCTCTCAAGCAATTGGTAAATACAAAGGGATCTTCCTTTCTGTGATGACTTGCTTGATCATGCAGTTTACCAAAACACCATTTCTGAGTTATTTAACCATTTTGGGGGTCAGCCTAATCGTTTCGGATTCAGAGGGAGGTAATTCCAGCAATGACTACTTCTGGGCATTCAGAAATTGCTCTCGAAGTATGAGTATGTGTGCAAATTGGGGCAGCTCTTACCTTGGGGGCAGTGGCATCCCTGCTAGTAAGAAATTTATAAACCTTGTCAATACCTTCCTTTGTCATTCTGTTTTAATAATGACTTGTAACAAAAAAGAAGAATTAGCACTGTCACGGGTCAGGATAGCGCATCCATTAAGCAGCAGCATGTAGACTGATTGAGGATGTCTTCTAGACCACACTCTTCTAACTCTACTCATTTCACATGTTGCCCTCTCATGGACAGTTTTTCCTTGCATGCTTTTAAAATCTTTTTCCATATTACTATATTTGACTTTGTTGTACCATACACACACACTCACCAAATAATTATGACACAGTTAGGGAAATAAATGCCATTAATGTTCATGAAACAATCAAATGATGGGCAGTACAGAAGCACCCAACAAGGGACTTAATAATTATGTTTTCATAGCAGAATTTGAGAAGTATGTGGTAAACAAAGGATGGGGCCACATGCTAATCAGCACACAAATAATAAAGTAGTGAATAAGCTGCTCTTTAAGTGAGTATTGTCCATTCTGTGCACTGGGTCAAACAAAGGGCTAGAGGTTAAAGACAACATGTGACTGTAATTAAAGACGTTTATATGACATAAGCACACAAGGAGGCCAAATAAAGGTTGCACAGGCAAACTTACCTCTGGCTTTCAGTTTTTCAGCTTCGAATCACCACAATGCTCCTGTGATACAAGGATGTGTATGATGCCCCTAGTACATGTGGATCGCTCAATAAAATCTTAGCTAGAGTTTTCTGCTAGCAGTTCTAGCAGTACTTCTAGAAAACTGCTAGGTTTGCTTCACCTTGAATTTGCTCACCAGTGGCTGAGTGGCTCACCTGGTTGGAGGATTGGGCTACAAACCATAGGCCCAAGTAGGAGGTGCATAGATGGGAATGATATGTGACTCCCAGCACAGCATGTGCAAATGCCTGTGATGTGATGGGCAAACCCCGTGAAAAAACTGCCATGCTGACATCAGGTGCAACTCACCCTTACCTTACAGCCTAGGCACTGGGTTTGTCCAGGCACAGATTGTCCCCCCTTGGCACTGTGTCTGGGATATAGGTTGGCAGTGTTCATTACAGTGCCTTCCAGGAGCCATTTTATGCAGTGAAAAAGGCTAGCAAGGGATGGTCCTAGCCAAGGAATGGTGCTTGCTGGTGAGTATTACAGTGATGGGGGGTGAGGGGGAGCAGGAGCATTCAATAATTTGTATGTGCACATTGTGAACCACTTCATGAGCTGTCCTTGGTCTCATCCTTATCTTTCTGAAGCAAGGAGACAAAGTTCTTCAGCACGGCTTACTAAGTTAACAAGCACCAACTTCACTGTGCTTTGAAGCCCAAATCCTGGCAGCATGTCAGAGCTAATGATGCAGAATCTATGTGCCACCTGCACAACTGTTCTCCAGAGCTGCAGTCAGGGAGCAGCTAGAAAAGAGTAGCTCGAGATCTACATAAACTGCCCTGTTCAGATCCTGGGAACTGCTCGCAGCATATGTTGTGGGAACTGGCCTACCATCACCAACAATGACTGGTTTACTGATAGTGTGCTTTTAGCCCAGGGAGGTTCTTCTCTTCCAGTCCTGCATTGTCCCCACTCTTCTGTGGGGCTGGGAAAGTTTTTTTCCCCTTTTAACCTTCAGACAATGATTCTTAAAACTTTTTGTCCTTGCAGAAGTGGTGTCTGATGAGGGGACCTCTGTGCAGGACTGGTCTGGTGGAAGTGCCTGATGTGTGTGTGGTGTATTACATGGCTGGGAACATGCTGTGCTGCAGCCAACTACCAAGCCATCTTTGAGGCTGAGGGAACTGATAACGAGCACTCCCCGTTGCTTCACTCTCTTTGCCCACATCCCAGTGAGATGTTGTATTGCTTAACGATCCCCCAGGGAAGTTTAATAAAAAAGTCAGCAAACTACTGGATTTGTCCTATGACCATAAGGCACTCCCAGGTGTGCATCAAGCGAGCTATATGGGCCTTTTGTGGGGAACATGAAAGCACAATGGTACAAAGCGCTTTTATCCCTATTAGCTCCCAGATGTGGCCAGCCTCGCACGGCTGCCCCACAAAAACAGTTTCCAGCTACTGCAACCAAAAAAAAAATCTCCTCCAACTCTGAAATCAGTCGTCTCAGTCATGTCAGTGGCAATAACAGCTGTGACTGCAGTGAGCTCAGTAGAGCCAGAGTGGAATCTGGGTAACCCCCAGAGCTTATCCTAGACACTGAAATTCGAGAAATCTTTTCAATTCCAGATTTGCACAAATAAAACAATCCTTTAACACTGAATTCAAGTGGGTACCTACTGTGCTTTTGACTGGTCATGAGTGTTTCGTGCTCTCATGACGGTTTTAGGGCTAGAGACAATTCTGAGGGGTGTTGATCCAACACTTTTCACACATATTCAGTGTATTTACACTGTGGCTTCTTTTGTACGTTGCCTACAAAATTCTGCTTCATAGAAGAAAAGCCTGGCAACACAAGGGAAATTGTAAACAACCAGAGTGAGTGCTCCAGCCTGTGTACAATAGACATGCTAGAACTCAAAATAGCACCAGAGAACAACAAAAAAGCGCCACCCTTAACAAACAGTAAGAACGTTGTTTGTTTTTAAGAAACACTGAGCATTGTTTTCAGTTTCTAGATTAAGCCAAATTGCCAAAAAAGCCTTTGTTTCTGCCTAAACTAAACTCAAGTTGGGAAGCATAGTCAATAATTATTTCACTTAAGAATATACCACCAAAACCCTAGGGGTGGGAATGCAAGAACTGAACAGTTGCTCAAAACAAAAAGCTTCATCCTCTCCCTGTCCTTTGTCTCTCTTTTTTTTGTTTGTGTTTTTTTTTTTGTGTGTGTGTTTGTTGTTGTTGTTGTTGTTTTGTTTTGTTTTTCCAGGTATAAGAATAGCCGCTTTAATAAACAGCAATAGAAACTGAGTTTCTGAGAGAAACTTGGTTCGAAAGGAAGAGCTTTTGGCAGCAGTCCCCCTCCCCCAGCTTTTTGAGATCCTTAACACATGCCAAAGCTTTCCTCTTAACACTTGCCAGGGCTATTGAATGCTGAAGTCACTGTTTTGAACTTAAAACCTCCCAGAACTCTGAGACATCTGTATGGAGGGTGCTTGCTGCCCTGCATATCTGCCAGAACCCAAGACTGAGATTTTAATCATAGATTCAGCTTTGGAATCTTAGAAATGAAAATTAATCCTGACTGTGTTCTATCTCTCATCCTTTTCCCTCCCCTCCAGGCTCTTCCACCCCATCAGGCACAAACAATAGTTTCTTGTACCCTGCAGTACCCACCTTCTTCCTGTTAGGAACAGAAGACTTGGCAATCTCCCTGGATGGCCATGCTGGTCCCAGATTGTCTCTGGGACTCATGCTTTCTTTTGTGCTCAGTGGAGTGAGGGGTACATCCCTTGCAGCAGAAATACTGTTCACAATAAAATGGGCAGGACCAGAAATTGTTCACTAGTGGTTGTTACTGCAAGCGGATGTATGTTGTATAAAGAGTAAGCATGCTAAAGCTGACCATGGTGTCTGGGGATTGTCTCTCTTCTCATACTTTTGCTACCAAATCTGTTCATCAGGTACGGAAATGGGTTAGGAAGTTATTAGCAGCTTAATGGCAAGATTTTTATTTCTGCCCCAACATGGAGTGCAATTCAGGAATTAAGCAGCCAAGGTACCTTTCTAGTGCATGAGGAAAGCTACATGGGGGCCCCAAAATCTACGTAACAAGGATGATAGCACCCTCAGGAGTGCATTGAGAAGAGCTTTTGAAGTCCTGGACCCTATGGAGATCATGAAGGATTCAGAGCCAATCATGCCACAAGGGCTTTCAGCCTTCTAGGAAAGGCAGAACACTTTTTCAGTTTGGTGAGGAAAGGCAAACGTACAACAGCAGTTGCTGGTTAGGCCTTAGGTGTCAAACCCACAGGCTGGATGTAGTAACATGGCCCTGTTTCACAGAAGTGAAGCATTGCCTCATGTCAGACAGCACAGTGGATGGAGATCTCTTCTGCAGGCAGGGAAGTGGGTTTCAAGTCTCTTTGCCTGGAAGAAGAGCACATCACCTTGCCTAGCATTTAACCAGAAAATGACTGTGCCTGTGGCTGGCTGTTTTTATGCTGAACTCCATGACATTGCGTTGCTTTGGGTGTGCTCAGGGCATGCCTTCTGGATCAGTGCCTTCAGAATAGGATCTGTCTAGGTTCTGGGTTGCAATGGCACCTACATAATTAAATCAGGCACCTAAGTACTTGAATTATATTACTGCTGAGATGGTCCAGTTGGTGTACAAGCAAGTACTCAGAGGACTTGCAGGTCATACGGAGGAGCACATAGTGAATTTATGTATTTCTAGGCCTAATCAAGCAGCTGCTAAACAGCAGTAGGTCTGGATTGCACTTCCAGATTTCGGGTGATTTTGGCATCTAAGTCATCCCTTGTCTCTAGCTCCAAGCCTCCTAACATGACTGAAGCCTACCAAACTGGATCTTTCAAGCCAAGAACAGGAGGTGCCGGGTTAGCAGTCCCCCTCAGTGAATGTGTACTTAAAAAAAAAAAAAAATCAAGCAGATGTAGGCACAGTCTGTCTGAAGAAAATTCTTGTCTTTCCTTTACCTACCTCAAACTGTCTTATCTAGCTGTGAAGAAATAGTGTAGCAGTAGCAAGAACCGCTTGTGATGTGATAGTATTTTCATTCTTTTTTGTCTGTTGAAAATGTACTTTACAGA